AGTCATGGATATTATAGGAATTAGGTCTTCTATAATTGAGGAGCTGAGGACGGACACAAAGAGAGACTAACAAATCCTCATGAAGCATAACACAGATGGGTAAACTGGAGCTTTTGCAGAGGAAGCTGAGAATCCAAGCAGGTTTCTGCTAACTCCTGAAGAGGTCTATGGAGGCTCTTGTCACAACCAAGCTTCTGGGGCCACTATTGCTCATGCAAGATCAGCAGTCAAGACGCAGAATTGGAGGCTGAGCCGAGAAGAGTGAGATTCAGCTAAAGCCCAACAGGAAACTCTGTCCGTTACCCTACCTGACCTCAAAGACCTACAGAGTAATAGTGGCCACTTCATTTCCATCATTTAAATTATATGAAGGTCTTCTTTTGGCAAACTCTATATACAGTGAAAGACACTCTGGGAAACATAGCTTCAAGGTTAACCAAACTAGCAATGGTGAGAGTTGCTGGATTTAGCAAATAAAAGTATAGGACACTTAGTTAAATTTGAATTTACAATAAATGATTAATTTTTTTTAGTATAACTATGTTCCAAGTATTTTATGAGACTAATATCATACTCTATTCTACTCCACTCCACTCTACACTACTCTACTTAATATTTTTAGAATAAGCATGACCCATGCAATATTTGAGACAAATTTATACTAAAAGAACTATTCATTGTTTATTTGAAATTCAAACTTAACTGACTTTGCTATATTTCATCTGACAACTATAACAGCACAATTTGAACAAATTACCTGGAGGAGAATAGTGGACACAGCTGCAAGATAGATACGTGGAGGTCAAACTATAAAGACTCTAAAAAGCCATATCGTTGCCAGTATTCAAGATTCTTCCGTTTATGTGTTTTCATTTGACCTTAATAACAACCTCACAATTTTATTTATTTAATTTGTTTATTTATTTATTTATTTATTTATTTATTTTATTTATTTATTTAGTGAGGAAGATTGGCCATGAGCTAACATCTGTGCCAATCTTCCTCTATTTTTTGAATGTGGGATGCCACCACAGCATGGCTTAATGAGTGGTGTTTAGGTTCGTACCAGGAACCCTGGGCTGCCGAAGTAGAGCCTACGAACTTAACCACTATGCCATTGGGCTGGCCCCCTCACAATTTTTATGGATAAGTAATTAGAAGATATTTAGAGATAATGAAACAGATGATAAAGAATTTAGTTAAGTTTATATTGAGTCCTATGCTGAATTATTTCCTTTATATTAGACTGGCCATAAAATATTTAATACCACTTAGAACAAGCATTCACAGAAATCCTTTATTATTTTGATATCATAAGTCCTGTATCCACCATGGAAACACCATTTCAAAAATCAGTACCAGTGTTTACATTGAGAAGTTATATACAATAAAGATTTGTACAAAAAAAATAAGCAACATTTTTATGTAATTAGCTCTTAACAGGATATATATTTACTGTACACATATTATAAAAAACATAATAATTAAAATTTTAAAAATCCATATGTCCAAAGAAAACCATAACCAATAGTTGGTAGTATTTTATTCTTCATACTTGAGAATGCATTGAATAATCCATTTTAATTCTATCATTTTTATTTTTAGATTATAAGTATTTTATAATATATATTTTATAATAGGTCTAAGACATTTTAAATAATTGTTCGACTGCTGAAAGTGTAGTGATTATTCCTTATTGTCTTCCATTTTGCACATCTAATATTTTTCCCAAAAGAACATGATTTATGACATTATTTGTAAGAGCTTAATAGAGATATAATATCTCCTTTTTCTATGGTATAAAGACAATTACATTAGTCAAAATATATATATTTTCATGTAATTATGAATCATATTTAAGCTATGTTTTATATGAAAAACTTATGAAATAGCATAGAATAGTTCTGTTCTTACAGTTTTTATTTTTATGGAATTCTACCAAAAAATATGGACTATGTGCAATTACATTTGTTCTTCAAAATAATAGATTTTGTAATCTCTCTGTCTGTAGTTCTACTACACTCAAACATAATTCTTCTAGAAAATCAGATTCGCATACTAGAACCACTGGAGGCTGTCTCTTGACCTGTGTGGCTGGTGCCATACAATTTAGCAATAGTCAAAAATAACTTGCTTCAATCCTCTTACCTCTGAATGTATTCCACTGACATCCTTTTGTTCTGTTGAAATAGGGTTGGCAACGCATGCATTATTTGAAACTAATAGCTCAAACCTGCCATTATAGAAGAAGAAGTAGTAGGTGCCCTTTGAATATTTGGCCCTAGTTGTCCATCACAGTAGACAATTAATTTAGTTGCATTGTTACTATATTCCATTCTGGGTCTTTCTGCAGAGACTGCCAGACAAAGTTTCTAATTAATGCCAGTCAAAATGGTGACTTTGTGGTATGAACATTTTGAGGACTAAAACGTATTTAAATACAAATTTATACTACATAACCTTCAAAAATATCTACCAGATGGCAACTTGACTTGTATGTCCAATTGACCTGGACTTGGGCCTCATCCCAAGGCTTGAAAATTTTCAAAATTTATTAGCAATTTGGACAAATTCAGCCCTTTTTATTTTCAGGTTTTTTTTTTTTAATCATGCTATATAATTCCAGGTTATATAGATGTTATTTTGAAGGAATTTTCTTTACAAACTTAGCTTCCTTTTTATAAATAATATTAGATTGTTTATTGAGACTTTGTTTCTACATAAGGATCACCGAAACCATATGAGAATCACTGAAACTAAATAAACCACTTGAAATATTGATGTTACATCCACTGGAATTTAACAGAACACTGTATCTGACCTTATATGAGTTTGTACACCTGGAAGCATGGAAGTACTGATCATATGTTTCCTCTTTAAAAAATACCTGTGGCTGGGGCCAGCCAGATTGCTGAGTGGTTCAATTCCGTGTGCTCTGCTTCTGCAGCCCAGGTTCGCAGTTTTGGATCCCGAGCACGGACCTACTCCTCTCATCAGCCATGCTGTGGAGGCATCCCACATACAAAGTAGAGGAAGATGGGTACAGATGTTAGCTCAGGGTTAATCTTCCTGAAGAAAAAAAAAGGAAGATTGCCAACAGATGTTAGCTCAGTGTGAATCTTTCACACGAAAAAAAAAAATTACTGGTTGTTTATTTGAATTATCTTCTCATCTCTATAATGTTCATAATAGCAGCTTGTAGTCTCCAATATTAGATGACTTTGTTTTTAATTTCACAGTCGAAGGTGAGTTCATTGGCCAAATCAATTTGTAACATATTAAGCACAGCCTTCAGGGTAGGATGCATGATATGAATTTTAATGTTAATTGCTAGTTACAATTTTGGGGCACTTTTCATGAAGGATCATCTTCTTAGGTAGAGAGACTAAATTCCAAACTGCAACCACATTTTTATAATTTCAGTAGGAACAATGTCATATGCAAAACAAAACGTTACCCAAATTAGAAAATAATTGCAAAGCTGATGTTTTGGTGAAAGAGGGATAAAGAGGGAAAGAGAGAGAGGAAGAGAGAGGGCGAGGGAGAGAGACAGACACTTTTTAATGAGTTTAAAAAATGCTTTAAGAGGTGGCCTGGGTGGAAGGGAACCTATGTTGCAATCCTACTTCTTTGACTTACGAGCGTGGGGCCTGTAGTAGACAGAATAATGGCCTCCTATAAGATATTCATATGCTAATACCCAGAGAAAGACTTGATCAATCATTACCAGCTTTGAAGATGGAAAGGAGTCTGTACTTCCAGTGTCTGGTCTGGCATATAAAGAGTGTGAGAATTTTCAATCCCTCCTCAAAACAAAGAATAAGCTGAAGACATTGAAAATCAACAACTTTCCTTAGATCTATAAGAAAATTGAGGTCAAGGACAAATCACTGCCTTAAAACTAAAGAGAGAAAAGTGGATACGAAAAAATTACAGCTTTCTGCTACCAGAGCCAGAAGCAAAAACCCAGTGCTGGAGCCAGGAGGATGGGAACATTGAACTGTAATTGACAAATTGCTGAAAGCCCATTGTAAACTAGCTTAAGATTTAAAAACACCAGGAGCCAAGTTTTGGAGGACAGGGCACATATTCATGAGTTTTACCTCCAGGGGCCCTACTGGGTTCTCATGGTGAAGATCAGAGAAAGAACTTACGCTTCTGGCGAGGGAGACGAAAAGTAACCATTTTAAATGTTCTCCTCATCTAAGTACTATCCAAAAAACAAATTATTTTACCCAAGCCTACCAACTTTGAGAAAGGGAAACTCCATCCCACCTAGACTTCCTGTCTCACCTAAGTGGAGGAAAAGCCGAGAAGCGCCTGTGAAAGTGGCAGCCCAGGAGCACAGGCTCACTAAAAGACGGAGACCTTATCACAGGCTTTCAGAATGTTTCCCCTGCCCCCGCACTTACTACCACATCAGTCAGGCTCCTGTATAATAACAGATTATAGCTAAAAGAACTGCAAGGTTCAGGTCTTATTCAAGAAGACAAAGAGGAAACAAAAACAAGAACACGAGAGTGAATTTTAGTCTCTGACACCTATAGCTATAGCAAACATTTAACACAGTCTAACTTCTCACCACAGAAACGTATAAACTCACACTAAAGACCTATTTACTTCAGCAGTTTTTACCCAATACATCATGTCTGCTTTCAACAGAATATTATAAGGCATGCCAAAAGGCAAAAACAACGACAATAAAAACCCGGTTTGAAAAGACAAAGTAAGCATCAGAACCCAGACTCGGATATGGTAGAAATTTTGGAATTATCAGACCGGGAATTTAAAATACCCATGATGAGTATGCTAAGGGCACTGATGGAAAAGTGGAAAACATGCAAGAACTGATGGGTAATGTAAGCAGAAAGATGGAAACTATAAGAAAATTTATAAATGCTAGAAATCAAAAACACTGTAACAAAAATGAAGAATGCCCTTTGCGGCGCCGGCCCGGTGGCGCAAGCAGTTAAGTGCGCATGCTCCGCTGTAGCGGCCTGGGGTTTGCCGGTTCGGATCCCAGGCGTGCACTGACGTACCGCTTGTCAAGCCATGCTGTGGCGGCATCCCATATAAAGTAGAAGAAGATGGGCATGGATGTTAGCCCAGGGCCAATCTTCCTCAGCAAAAAAAAAGAGGAGGATTGGCAGATGTTAGCTCAGGGCTGATCTTCCTCACAAAAAAAATAAAAACAAAATAAAAAAAAAAATGAAGAATGCCCTTTGGGCTCATCGATACACTGGAAATGGCTGAGGAAAGAGTCAGTGAGCTAAAAGATATATCAAAACAAACTTTCTAAACTGAAAAGCAGAGAAAAAGGAATGAAAGAATCGAAGAGTATATCCAAGAATTGTGGGACAATTATAAACAGTGTAACATATGCATAGAGGGAATACCAGAAGAAGAGAGGAATAGAAGGAATATTTGAATTATTAATGGCTGAGAATTTTCCAAAATTAATGAGACAACAAGCCATAGATTCAGGAATCTCTGAGATAGAGAATAAATAAGCAGAATAAATAACAATAAACCTACACCAAGGCATGTCCTATTAAAACTGCAGACAACCAAAGACAAAGAGAAAATCTTGAAAGAACCTGGAGGGGAAAAATATGCACCTTACTAACAGGTGAAAAAGGATAAGAATTACATAGGACTTGTTTTCAGAAACCCTGAAACCAAGACATTGAAAATATTGAAAGAAAAAAAAACACCCATCTAGCTTTTTGTATGCAGTGAAATTATCCTAAGGGAAGAAGAAATAAAGACTTTCTCTGACAAAAATTGAGGGAAATTGTTGCCAGTAGACCTACTTGCAAAAAATGTTAAAGGAAGTCCTTCAGAGAGAAAGAAAAGATTACAAGTCAGTAACTTGGATCTATATATAGAAAGGAAAAGTGGTAGAGAAAGAATAAATAAAGATAAAATGTATTTATTTTTCTTGTGGTTAATTGATCTAACAGATAATTTGTTCACAAAATAATAGCAAGAATGTATTTGGTGATTATAGATTATAGATCAGTGAAATGAACGACAGCACATTATGAGGGACTGAAGGGAGAAATTGGGAATACCTTGTTATAAGGTACCTGCACTACCTGTGAAGTGTGACAGTGTTATTTGTAAGTGGATTTAAGTTAGTTATAAACGTATGTTGCAAACTCCAGGGCAACCACAAATTAAAAAAAAAAAAAGAAGGAGTCTACAATCTCCAAAGGCTATAAAAGTCAAAGGAATGGATTCTCCTTTAAGACTCAAAAAAGAACAGCCAAAACCTTGTTTTTAGCCCATTAGGACATATATTGGACTTCTGACCTAAAGAACTGGTAGATAACAAATTTGTGTTGTTTTAAGCCACTAAGATTGAGGTAATTTGTTGCAGCAGTAATAAGAAACTAATACAGGACCTTTGGCAAATTACTTTAGCATCTTTGATACAATTTTCTTCTTTTGCAAACTGAGTGGGTAGATTCATTCATATCCAAATTTCTATAATTTTTATAGACTACTGCTAAATCAAAAATAATTCTCCTTAACCTCTCCTTTCTTTCTTGGTTGTTTCCCTCTCTTTGTCTTTCTTTTACTTTCCTGTTCTCCTTCATGCATTTCCTTCCAAGACTTATTTAGCATTTCTAAGAAAGACACTGTGCTTGAGATGTAAGAACAAATACACTTGAGAATATTATGATACAATAAATCAGTCAGGCAAAAGTAACTATATATAACATTATAATTACTTTATAATAAAAGTACAGTGAAAAGATATGGTAGCAATAGAGAAAAAAATTGAAGTCAGCACTCCAAAATTATATCATATTCCAAAAGTAGCATTTTTGAATATTAAAAAAAAAAACCTTGGCATAGCATCACAGTTATAATATTATGGACTAGACCAGACCATCTTTCCATTCTGCTTTTAGCTTTTACTGAACAAAATTGAGAATAAAGATTTCCTTTATTTTGCAACCAAAACGGCAAAAGGAAAAAAATTGACAGAGGTAGATATTTCACAATGTTTAGACAGCTCAAAAGATAAATGTAAAAAGAGAAAAACAATCTATACAAATGCTGACCAATAGAACTTTCTGCAATGATGGAAATATTTTATGTTTGCACTGTTGAGTGTGGTATCTACCACTCACATGTTTTTAAAGAGCCCTAGAATGTAGCTTATATCTAACTGAGGAACTAAATTCTTAGTTTTATTTAATTTTATTTAAAATTTAAATAACTACATGTGACAAGTGGCTACTATAATAGTTCAACTCAAAACTAATAATGATGGTTAACTTGACCATAAAACTAAAATCTCAAACTATGATTCTTAAAATGATTATATCCTACATGAATTTTCTCAAAATGAAATATTGAATAAACTATATATTCTTAGGGAAAAAAGGAAATATGGCATTCTTATTCAGTTAGTCATGCAACAGGAAAGACTTCCTCTCACTTTATATTGTGAAAAGGATCTGGAAGATCCGGTGTTGCTCAAGTGTCATCCAATAGTATTCTTTCCTCTTTCATGATGTTTTAATGCCAAGATTTAGTTGATATAAAGAACGTGTCTCTATTTTCTTACGAAAAATTTTAATTGTTTTTCACTACTCTTTTATCATTACTCCTAAAAATTTATTTATAATATGACAGATAGGAAAAAATTATGTTTCCATTGGATCAAGATAGTAAATGCTACTGATTATTTTTCTTGGCAAACTGTGGGTTAACAATCTTTTTCCTCATGTATTTTTACAGACTATCTAATGATGAGGCAATAATTTACACTTCTATTGTAGTTTATAATTTTCATATAAGCCTTAAATGTCCACTAAAATATTAAATGAAATATTATTATCTATAATAAATATTTGAAATTCATGATATTGCTTTCATAAGTGTGCTTTTTCATGTATTAAGTTTTTTTCATTATAGCATGGAAGGAATATTATTTAGGCTACTGGCTATAAATACCTAATTAGAAATACTAATGGCATATAATTTATGCTAAAGGCAAAAAATAAAAAAATTTACCAAATTTCCCCAAAATTCTATTAATTTATAATTGTCAATGAAATGCGTAAAATAATTTCAAATGATCAACTGAAAGCCCAATTGAGTGATGAAAATGGAATCCATTATTGAAATTCTATGCTAGTCTTTTAGAGGCCTGATGCAGTAATAACAAAAAAGATGTTTTACCCAGCAATTCCCAAACTTTTTGACCTTAAAGTTTATTCTACATAAAAAGTGAAATTAGTATTCAATGAACCAAACTTGAGAAAGTGTAGTTCTAGTTTCTCTCTGTTTGCAGGAAGACAGTACTTAAAGCAGTGCTCAGGATGTGTCTTCACCATGCCAACCACTGGTCTAGTCCAATTGAAGTAATAGAATAATAAAGTTCTCACAATTATCAATTCATTCATTTATTTGTTCATTTATTGTGCACCCAGTATGTGCACAGCGACAGTGGCATACAAGGTTGGAGAGTTCTCTTGACACGTTTTGAGCACTGAAAACTCTATTTTCTTTCTTTTTTTAAATTAACTCAAAAAATTTAATTATAAAATAAACTAAAAATTATTTCTTGGATCTCTCTTGAAATACTTGGGTTTCAGGTACCTAGCACTCCTCACAAATGTTGCTGTCATATGCAGACTTATAATATATGGAAAATAATAATTTTCCTCCTAAAACACGATGTAGGTCAGTGAATTAAAAAAAAAAGGATTGGGGCCAGCCTGGTGGTGAAGTGGTTGAGTTCGCGCCCTCCGCTTCGGCAGCACAGGGTTTGCAGGTTCGGATCCCGGGCATGCACTGACATACCACTTGTTAAGCCATGCTGTGGCAGCGTCCCATAGAAAGCAGAGGAAGATGGACACTGATGTTAGCCCAGGGCCAGTCTTCCTCAGCAAAAAGAGGAGGATTGGCATCGGATGTTGCTCAGGGCTAATCTTCCTCACAAGAAAAATAAATAAATAAAGGATCGGAAGAAGACATTTCTCACTTAGCCTTCAATATAAGAGAGTATAATATCAGCAATCTCATAATAATTACAAGTATCTTCCTTTACTTTGTGCTGAGAACCCCTAAAAAATGAAGTACATCGTCCTAGATATTTGTATATTAGAAAATCTAAAAAGTGTTAGAACATGGCTCACCTATGTGTCTCTCCTATTCACTCCTATTTTCTTTATGTTCCACATACTGACTGTAGAATATGAAAGCTTTCTCCACCAAAATTATTACTATTAGTCCTGGGGATAAGTTGTTTCTTTCCTCAACTTAGACACACAGTGCAATCTAGACACTCCAAAAATTCTGGTGTCCTAACTTCGTATTTACTGAATTGTTCAAGAGTGTTTTTCTCTTGTTTCTACTGTTGGCAGTTATAGAGAGTTTGTTCCAAAAGTGAAGACATTCCTCATATTTTAAATTTGTTACATTCCCTGAAGCAGTATCATTTAAATGCCATTTCCTTTTGTTGTTGATTATATTTGCTTTTAAATGACTTTTCTATGATGAGGTTCACATACTGAAATGATTTTGTTTTGTCTGGTTGATAATTTGCATGAGAAAGCCCATGAAACATTGATGTTTATTGGGTGACTCAAGTGACTAGCTAGCTCACTCTCATTCCTGTAATTTTATTATACAGCAAGTACTATATCCTTTTATGAAGAAGTATGGCAATATTTGTCTTAAAATGAAAAGTGCAAACCTATAAACAGGTTTATACAGTCATGTAGTAATGTTTAAATCAATGTTATTTAAAGGTGATACTTTTAATTTCATAGAATGATCCGAAATATTTCACCTGGACAATGAACCCAGCCAGAGCTGATAACATTCATTTGGCAACTAAAAATGAGTTATTCTTCAGGTACTTCTACAACTGCTGGTTTATCATTTTTTAACTTCATGACCCAGTTTGCATACATCATTGAAATGTAACCTCAGGCCATGCAGTCAGATTTTTTCTTTTGATAACTGTTTATTAACATCTCAGTCAGCCCAGTTGTCTCAGT